TGAAGGACTTATTTAATTTCGCGGACCCCCATACATATTTTGATATCTTATTGTTCTAAATAATTGTCCATCCGAAAATTGACCTAGTTCATTAATTCCTAGGTCTAATAAATGTAGAGATGTCATATCTATAAAATATTCCCGTACTTTGAGAATATATAATATTTCAGATAGGTTTTCAATTGCATGTTTTGAAGATAGAATGACTTCTTTGTTGATATGTTAACATGATGTTTAATTTTATGATCGTGAGATCTTTCATGTTCATTTTTCTTCAAGGTAGCGAAAAGGTTTCTTTATCAAATATTGTCACATGTGCTTAAGGATTCACGTTTTAAAAATTTGTTGCGATTGCAAAGGGTGAACTGAGTAAGTGAGCTAAGTTTTCGGGAAAATAATATAAGAAAGTTGGACTTCTTCTATGTTGTTGCGGAGTGCGTTATCCACATAATATATGATTTGAACTCTTTGTTAAAGTACTGTGAATTTGGAACTTAAATTTGAATTTTAAAATACCAACGAATTATTTTACTTCATGGTTTTTGGCTACATATTTACGCGAAACGCTATGGATTTTCTGATGTTAATTTAATAATATGTATTGGTCAACAAAATCAAGTTAAAATCTGTGTATCACGTCGGATTGGAATATTTATAAAGAGATACATAAAGAGTCACCTCTGTTTTGGAAATATATAATTTTAGTCCTTTCAAACAAGAACACTTTTGCTTACAATTTGATAAACTTAAATCTGTAATAAGCTTATCTTTGAATTGAACTTCATACTCCGGTACCAGTATCCCTAATTTAATTGTAAGGCAGAGTATTATTTGTCTGAAATAAAAACCATTATTTCAGTACATATACAGGAAACAAAAATTACAAATCACGCAATACTTTATTTTATAAAAGTTATACAATAAATTTGTAGGGCCTAGCTTCTTCCTGATAAACAACCGAAAAAATAAAATTCAAAAAGTCACCAAAAAATTTGGGATTATTGCACAAAAATTGAAGATATTTGTACATACATATAAAAGCAGAATATTGTTTATTCATGGCTTTTTTCGTTCGTCTTCGCGGACCCCCTAGGATTTTACTACGGACCACTAGGGGTCCGCGGACCCCCATTTGGGAACCGTTGATTTAAACTGTATAAACGTTTGTCTTAAATTCATAGACCCACTGATTCTTTGTGTTTCCATGGTCCATGATTTAGACTCCATCTGATTTCAACAGTTCCGTAATCTTATTGTTGTATGTATAGGTTAGATTGATAGGAAGATGTATAACTAGATAAAATCCTAAGAAACACATATTGCTACTATCGGGTCTGTTATGTACTTCTTTTAATGGAAACTGTTTGTTTAGAAACTAAGTTTCCTGGATATAATTCCTAAGGATTTTCCATTCAGTGATCGTGAGGAATGTTATTTCTGGAAAGCCGAAAGCCTGATAATGGCAAAAAAAGTGTAGTATAAATTCATCCATATTTGATTCCAAATCTTTTATCTGAAATAAAATTTGGAAGTGATAATGGCAAAAAAAGTGTAGTATAAATTCATCCATATTTGATTCCAAATCTTTTATCTGAAATAAAATTTGGAAGTGATCAAAGCCTCTTATCCCAATATTTACACTTTACTGCGAAAGGTAGTCGTATGATACGACTCCTGGGGTTCTATAAAAGGCTAAGGGCCTTTTACAAATGAGAATCAGAAAATGTATAGAATTCCTTTTCATTAATAGATCGTGACTAATCACTCAACCGGGTACTAACACTGCAAAGCTCATCTGCAATTGATAATCTTGATTTTAATAATGAAAGAGCTATTTGTAAAAATAGTTTTATAGTTTCAGTTACCCACTGTCACAGCGATATCGTTAATCATTTTACTGATGATTTTACAGATCGCCATTAGACTGTCAGTGACATTAAGTAAGGGTTCCAGCTGTATATCATCAGTACTGCTTTTTTCATAACAGTTTAAATACTTTTACCGTATAGGGACCAGTTTACAACCAATTATTGAACGTTGTAGGGTTAACGGGCCAAATTAGATAAATTGTGTTATTGATGCGGTTATACATAAGTTGAATATTTGTAATATGGAACAGATATTATAATATAAACTGATGTTAAGGTCCACCTTGTAATTATTGTGCTAATCAATAGGGACACAAAACACGTCTTTTATGGAACATAACCTTTTTTGCAAATCTTCCATTAATGGACATTGCCCAAATATAAAACCCAGAAATCAGACGATAGATAAGGCCGATTTCAAAATTGTAAGGGGGCTTTAGAATTCACGAGGTATTTTTCAACTTCCACTTGGCCACAGATAATAGCCTGTTTATAATATGGACCTAGATACCAAGTATCTACTTGTTAAGCTTAAAAAATTGTGAAATTTTCTTATCGAAATATGATAAATATATAGAAATTATCCTAGACTCTAAACTGTCATATAAACAGAACACTTAACTCGTATTTAGAAAGGCAACGGTTCTTCAGTATGAAATGGATACTATGTCTACTAATTAAAATTTATGGTGGACCTTAACTAATAATAATAGACATAGTAGGTCTATGTAATGTTTTGAACGTTACAGATCCTTTAAAAATTAGCCCTTTAGAACCACTGGATGCTGTATTGAACCTTTTTCCTTTCGGACATCATTGTCTGCTCAGCAGCGAGGCTTAATGTATCCGGATGTTGGAGATCAACTACATCTGAACTCGGGAGGATATTAAACATGCCGCCCTCAATCTTGAAGCAACCATCCGACTATATTAACCCACACACTAACTTTGATTGAGTGTTTAGAGTCAGTATTCCTTTCAGGAACTAATATAACATCAGGATTAATATAGATAGTTCTAAAATTAAGTGCAGTTACTGGTGTAAAAATCTCTCTACGTCTTCCGAATAGCAGATCATATGACCTCAATATTTGTGACAATATTGAAATTTTAGTCGTTAGACAGTTGGCGTTTCTTTCTAACACTATCTTATTGATCTAACACTATGTTATCTGTCAAGGCTGGGATGTCTGTCTAAAATTACCCCAGTTTGCGTCCCATACACAGAGACTATTAACTAACGAAATTAAGAAGATCTTCTTTCAATATCTTCAAGTCGTACCTATATATTTTCTTCGAAAGGCTCAAAATATACCGAATAATCTAGATACATGTAGAGATGCCTAGTTATTATTATCTTCTTCCAATAAGAAACGTTGAAGGCAACTTATAACCCGTAATAGGTGGAATATAACGAGTTTACCGACAGTAATAACTGGACTCTGGGTTTGCGTTTCCCTTCAACGAATTTAGTTGACATTGCCAGGACGGACATAAAGAGGAAACGGCCTTCCACCCTTTCTGCGAATGATAAGCCCAAGCGGTCAAGGGGAACAGATTTCTTAACAAATGCTTTACATCCAACCGTGATAATTTATCGGTATTTCGACTTAACGACTGATGAGATGTCTCACGGCTACATGCTGAATCTAATACAACATAAATTCATTTGACGAGTGGTGTGATCTTGTTAAAATGGAGTACCTTCGACAGTACTTTCAAAGATAAATGCACTAGGCAATTTGTAAGCCATAATAGGCGGCAGAGATCAAGGTTGATGACATTTAAACCGGACATTGTGGGTGCTAGGAATCCACGCAATTCAATTTCGAATCCTTTCCAACGATCTTTTTGAAGTTGCATTGACAGGCATAAAGAGAAAACGATCTTCCGACTTCTCTCGCGAATACTCTGTCTTAGCTATCAAGTAAAAAATATTCCTTCCAACCTTCGATCTAGACTCAATAACTTATTGAGATACCTTACGATTACAGTATTAATCTAATATTATATTAGTATACCCCACGATACATCAGACGATTGGTGCGATCTTGTCAAAACAAAGTCCCTTCGTTTCAACTTGATAGTTTAAGAGTAGTTAAAAATAAATTTGAACAACCAGCCAACGATGGTGAAACCAAGGGCTGCACAAAACGAAATTCAAATCGGGTCTAAAGTGCCCCTGATCTATATTGAATAAAGTGTATGTTAAATTCGACCATAACTCTAAAAACTAGCACGATTATTAACGTTTATATCTGATACTTTTTAAATGCGGTACAATACATTTAGTGAGTCCGCAGTTCTATTCATAAAACAAAAACAAAACAACAGTAATCAGTAAAACTGCATCTCTAGACCTCTGCACACATCTCTCTCTACTCTTCATCTATGTGTGTATGTATTTAAGTATCTGCAACTATAGAGAAATTGTTTACATCGATTTGTATGATCGATCTTCTTCTGATCTAAATGTGCATACGATGAGATGCAGTTGTTTCTTTTTTTTTTGCTGTTATATTTTCTAAATGGAGAAACCCGAACGTAAAGAAATAATACACCGTTTTAATGAGTTTTTTTTTATTCTTTAACAATATTGTAAAATTCTGTTGCTTTTGTTTATTCAAAACAACCGTAAATTGCGGTCATATTGGAACTAAAGATGATGAAGAAGAAAAGTGTTAAATAGCAGCAAAAGATAAAGAAAACAAACGATCTTTAAGCACAAACCACTAAAATCTAGAGTAAAAAAATGTGTGTGGAAAAGAATGTGCTAAATTAGCAGATTTTTTTAAACAACTTTAAAGAATATTTTTTTAGGCTGAAAATTAACATTTATAATTTTTTTTCTAAAATACACAATTTCACTTTAAAATTTTGTTGTTTTTTTTTTATTTTGGCTTATTTATTTTTAAGATTTTTTTACTGAAATTTTATTTTAGCTTTTAAACAAAATTTCTTTTATGATGAAATCATTAATTAATTATTTTTTTTCTAAATTTGGCTTAAAACACTTTTATCTTTATTTGTATTTTTTTTTAATATTTGCACACAGCTCAACAACAAACAAACAAATACAATTTATACTCAAAAAACTGGATTCAAGCTTGACCATCATAGGTTTGGTTTTACCTTATTTTTTCTTTATATCTATAGATTTTTTTCTTATTTCATATATATTTTTTTAATTCTCAATTCTTTTTTCTTGATTTTTGCACTTAAATTAAAAAAAAATCACCACCGTACCGGGTTTAACAAGCGCTTAAAACGTCTTAACGTTTCGAAATATTCTCAACTAGTGTTTACCTGTGTAAATAGTATCTGTTGGTTACCTGTTGAGTATCTAGTATCTTTCAAACTCAGCTTAGTGGTGTATATAACAACGGCAAAGAGCGAATGTGTTGTATTTTTAAAATACTGGTATTTTTTGTTTGTAACTTCTCAAATCTCTGGGGAGTTACACATTTGTTTGTTTTGTTGCATTTTTGAATTGATAAAATATAATTTTGCAATTTATATTTGTGTATAACTTTAGAGATTTGTATGTGCTTTTATGCATTTTATTTTATCCTACCCTACAGCGATACATGGCACCACCTATTGGTCTGCTATTAATAGAGTTCGTGCCCTACGCTCATCATTATTAAGGAAATGCATACAAAAACAAGGTTGTGATTTTATTGCAATTTAATTTAAACATTAATTTTCTTTATTATTCTTTTGAATTAACATTTACAATTAAGAAGATGCATTCGTAAGCTATTTAATCATTTTAAGAAAAAAGAGAACTATAACAGAACTAGAATGTTTGGCTAAAAATATAGTCTAGCCTATGGTTTAGTCTATAGTCTAGTCTATAGTCTAGTCTATAGTCTAGTCTATAGTCTAGTCTATAGTCTAGTCTATAGTCTAGTCTATAGTCTAGTCTATAGTCGAGTCTATAGTCTAGTCTATAGTCTAGTCTATAGTCTAGTCTATAGTCTAGTCTATAGTCTAGTCTATAGTCTAGTCTATAGTCTAGTCTATAGTCTAGTCTATAGTCTAGTCTATAGTCTAGTCTATAGTCCTAGTCTATAGTCTAGTCTATAGTCTAGTCTATAGTCTAGTCTATAGTCTAGTCCTATAGTCTAGTCTATAGTCTAGGTCTATAGTCTAGTCTATAGTCTATAGTCTAGTCTATAGTCTAGTCTATAGACTAGTCTATAGTCTAGTCTATAGTCTAGTCTATAGTCTAGTCTATAGTCTAGTCTATAGTCTAGTCTATAGTCTAGTCTATAGTCTAGTCTATAGTCTATAGTCTAGTCTATAGTCTAGTCTATAGACTAGTCTATAGTCTAGTCTATAGTCTAGTCTATAGTCTAGTCTATAGTCTAGTCTATAGTCTAGTCTATAGTCTAGTCTATAGTCTAGTCTATAGTCTAGTCTATAGTCTAGTCTATAGTCTAGTCTATAGTCTAGTCTATAGTCTAGTCTAGTAACAGTCTAGTCTATAGTCTAGTCTATAGTCTAGTCTATAGTCTAGTCTATAGTCTAGTCTATAGTCTAGTCTATAACCTAGTCTATAGTCTAGTCCATAGTCTAGTCTATAGTCTAGTCTATAGTCTAGTCTAGTCTATAGTCTAGTCTATAGTCTAGTCTATAGTCTAGTCTATAGTCTAGTCTATAGTCTAGTCTATAGTCTAGTCTATAGTCTAGTCTATAGTCTAGTCTATAGTCTAGTCTATAGTCTAGTCTATAGTCTAGTCTATAGTCTAGTCTATAGTCTAGTCTATAGTCTAGTCTATAGTCTAGTCTATAGTCTAGTCTATAGTCTAGTCTATAGTCTAGTCTATAGTCTAGTCTATAGTCTAGTCTATAGTCTAGTCTATAGTCTAGTCTATAGTCTAGTCTATAGTCTAGTCTAGTCTAGTCTAGTCTAGTCTATAGTCTAGTATAGTCTAGTCTATAGTCTAGTCTATAGTCTAGTCTATAGTCTAGTCTATAGTCTAGTCTATAGTCTAGTCTATAGTCTAGTCTATAGTCTAGTCTATAGTCTAGTCTATAGTCTAGTCTATAGTCTAGTCTATAGTCTAGTCTATAGTCTAGTCTATAGTCTAGTCTATAGTCTAGTCTATAGTCTAGTCTATAGTCTAGTCTATAGACTAGTCTATAGTCTAGTCTATAGTCTAGTCTATAGTCTAGTCTATAGTCTAGTCTATAGTCTAGTCTATAGTCTAGTCTATAGTCTAGTCTATAGTCTAGTCTAGTCTAGTCTATAGTCTAGTCTATAGTCTAGTCTATAGTCTAGTCTATAGTCTAGTCTATAGTCTAGTCTATAGTCTAGTCTATAGTCTAGTCTATAGTCTAGTCTATAGTCTAGTCTATAGTCTAGTCTATAGTCTAGTCTATAGTCTAGTCTATAGTCTAGTCTATAGTCTAGTCTATAGTCTAGTCTATAGTCTAGTCTATAGTCTAGTCTATAGTCTAGTCTATAGTCTAGTCTATAGTCTAGTCTATAGTCTAGTCTATAGTCTAGTCTATAGTCTAGTCTATAGTCTAGTCTATAGTCTAGTCTATAGTCTAGTCTATAGTCTAGTCTATAGTCTAGTCTATAGTCTAGTCTATAGTCTAGTCTATAGTCTAGTCTATAGTCTAGTCTATAGTCTAGTCTATAGTCTAGTCTATAGTCTAGTCTATAGTCTAGTCTATAGTCTAGTCTATAGTCTAGTCTATAGTCTAGTCTATAGTCTAGTCTATAGTCTAGTCTATAGTCTAGTCTATAGTCTAGTCTATAGTCTAGTCTATAGTCTAGTCTATAGTCTAGTCTATAGTCTAGTCTATAGTCTAGTCATAGTCTAGTCTATAGTCTAGTCTATAGTCTAGTCTATAGTCTAGTCTATAGTCTAGTCTATAGTCTAGTCTATAGTCTAGTCTATAGTCTAGTCTATAGTCTAGTCTATAGTCTAGTCTATAGTCTAGTCTATAGTCTAGTCTATAGTCTAGTCTATAGTCTAGTCTATAGTCTAGTCTATAGTCTAGTCTATAGTCTAGTCTATAGTCTAGTCTATAGTCTAGTCTATAGTCTAGTCTATAGTCTAGTCTATAGTCTAGTCTATAGTCTAGTCTATAGTCTAGTCTATAGTCTAGT